GTCTGTTTTGAATGCAGCTTTTCGACGTTGAACTTTCCTTGCATTGTTGGGGCCCTTTTTTGCTGCTTCGAGGTTGGATCGTATATTGAATGCATCAATATAGTAGTGCGAGTCGATGTTTGGCCCTCGGAGTGTACGTATGTACACCTAAAACACTGGAAGCATACCTTCCGTCTATCGCAACATGCTCGATGTGGTTTCCCGTTTTTCGATCTGCAGACACCCATGTAGCTTGAAGGATATCTTTATGCTAGAACCCAGTAATACATACTGCCAAGTTTCGGGCCCCGGCGAAGTCGATCATCCTCAGCTAATATGTACGCTCTAAGCTAAGAGAGCCTTGGATGCACATATGAATGAGATGTTGAAGAATCTCGCTTTTATGCGGATTGTGGCTAGACTTTCGTCCACTAGAGTGAACGCCGGTCTCTCTCCCACCACAAATCCAACACCGAATTGCACTCCTTTACGTGGCAACTGTAGTAGACGTCGCAAGGCTCCACGCTTACCTTCCTCGCCCCGTCCATCGCATTTCGTGGATGGCGGTGATGTCAGCCTTTATTTTCCCTAGGACATCAACCAGCCGGGCAGAGGCACCATCCCGATTATGGGTTCGGATGTTCCAAGTGCATACCCTAAAATCATAGTCCTTCCTATGTTTGCCGTGATCGTCATCAAAAGAAGGGGGTATCATCCGCGGCATGTGTTTTTTTTCATTGGGCAGGGTTCCAACGTAGCGGGACCCAAACCCAGCGCACTTGGGCCACTCCCAGTTGAATGGCAGTTAAATGCTTTGCAGTACTGGGAAATGTACAGATCATAGTGGTCAAAAGCGAATATCTCAGCTAAACCCTGATTTATTTTTTAAGTTCATAGCTCTAAATACCTGTATAGTAAACCAAATAGCCGGAGCAGACGTTATTCAAAATAAAAAATGTAAAAAATAAACTTTTTTCCGCATACTCTGTAATATTCTTCCGCAATTTTTTAGGCTAACCTAACAATTTATAATCATTGCTTTGCAACGAAATATCTTATCTTAAATTATACACATAGATATGTATAAATATGAGGACGTATTGAACATTTTGAGTATGCAGATTTCTTATGCTGGTATATTCATTTATGCTAAATATATTACTTGATTTTGTTTTGTCACACTTGGCTGTTCACCCAACCGGTCTATATTTTTTATCCATAATCCCAGATTGTTCGCTTAGAAAAGACACAAACATAAAGACATAGTAATAAACAATTGAACTATAAATTTATTTATAGTTTCCGTTCAATCCATGTTTGCTCATTCTCGACTGCAGCTAGGTTTTTACCCTTTTTAAATGGAAGTGCTTTGAAGTTAGAGAGAATAACTTGATACAGAACCGGATGATCCACATATCCACATTTTAAATCAATTTACTAATTATTTTGTTAGCGTTGGGAGTATAATTTGTTATACAGTATATATATAGAAAAAACCTTTAAAGTTAGGGGGGCCGAAATTATCAAGCAAGCATTTCGTGGTAATATATTTCAATATCTAGGCAAAAATTTGGAAGTTAGGGGGGAAGGCCCGGGCCCCCTGCCCCTACCTGGCTACGCCCATGTATATGTCCAAGCTATGCGGAGCTGCTGATACAAACATATATTCAGGCTTATAAGCCTGTAATTATACATTTTTCTACATTTAATTTGAAATAGTACGCACGAACTGATTAAAAGTAGTAAATAATTAATACCTTTTCTACTACTTTAAAATGCGTGACCGGAATATACCTGCCGAAAAAGTGAGGTTAAGTAACTGACAACACCTTGTTATTATTCCACCATGGGCTGAAATTCTTTATTCATTCTGAACATTTGGAATAAACTTTTTCGTTTACTTATTCTTTAGAACGTTCCTGATGATATGTTAACGTATATTTGAAACGCATTCTGTTTATTCTGGCTGTGAAATGGGATTATCTGGAAAGTATAAAGAAACGCAGCCATAGCAACTGATATCACACTTACAGTGGGATAAACTTAAAACTTCTAATATAAATTAGTTAAATTTAGTTAAGATTTTTTATCAAATTCAAGTTTTCGTTTGGAATAATTTTCTTGAACTAATCTATTTAGAGATCTTTTTAGAAAATTGCCGTACATCCGATATCTATTAAAATTTTGACATCCTCACTTTTTGGAAAAGGAAGTTCAAGATACAAGTTTACGTGAAAAAAAATAAATTAAACAATAAAAGTCTCCTAATATATATGAAACATATAATAGAAACATTTTTATATCATTACCCAGACTTTATGAATAGCCTACTCTATAAGTAATAGTAGAAATTCCTATTTAGGAAGTTCAGTCAAGACGCCATTCAAAAGTTTTGAAGAAAATCACTTTTCTCTTTTGTGAAAGTTTGGGACTATCTTATGCGAGTATTGTCGACAAAATTTTAGTCTATGAATGATTAAAAATTTACGAATAAATGGTTAATCGCGATTAATGATTAAAATTAATTAAGCGATCGCTGTGGTGTAGTGGTTAGAAGTGCGCACTACCATTCCGCAGGGCGAGGGCTCGAGCCCAGTTCCGGCCAACATAAAAAAAGATAATGTTTTTTGTAATAGCAGTCGGCCCCCGGCAGGAGTCGGCGTAAAACTGTAGGTTCCTCACCTCTTTGCGACAACATCAAGGCGCATGCCACAATCGGAGGAGTAGCTCGGCCAAACACTCACATATGTCGATGGTCCTCTGCAATAACGGCACAATTCAAAATTTCAGGTTTAGAAAAAGACATAATTTGAAAGCTTACAGTATGACTGCAAATAATCCGGAATAATTACGTTCCAAGACATATTATTGCTAAATTACGAAACAGAAAATCTTTAATTGGCTCTACTGAAATATATGAAATTTTGAGTTGTGTCGTTATTGCAGATGACCATCGATATGTAAGCGCCAATCTTTTAGTATTAGTAATCATCAATACAATTTCAAATTACATAAACCCAGTCACAGCCCTTTTTTGTATACAACGCTTCCAGAAATCACATAATACATAAATTAAATAAAAGCTGTTTTGATTAATATAACATAAACTGGAAACTGTTAAAAATAAGTGCGTTTGTGTACATAGATTTTAGAACCCATTTAGTTCCTAAAATGTCTGTTTGCAACGCATAACAATAAAAATTCACATCAAATAGCTAAGAATGATGAAGGACATCGATTCAGACATGCCTGTTTAAATGGCCGTGCGTGCACAAAACAAGCACATGTTAATTAAGGGGATATTCAAGTATTATGTAAAAACCAGTGGGAAGCGGGGGTCTTGGTTTGGTTATTTTTAATGACGAGGGGCAACATTTCTTCAAATAAGTAAAACATTAATCACACACGCACAAATTTTGCCTACAATTTCGATCACAATTGAACACTGCACTTCACCCTCGTTTCGAATTTTTGAAAGCGTTTTTTAAGCTATTTAGTGGTTTAACACTTCTTGGAGGCGCTTGGTATTGTAAACAAAATATGCGTAATTCGATCCCTGACTATATTTTTTTGTAAAGAACGCCCGTTTGCTTTAAATTTGAAAAATTACAATAATTTTTTATTTTGTTTACATCTGTCCTTTGTTACAAATAGTGAAAAGTCTAAGAGTTACCAAATATAAACATTTTTATATCTATTTATTAAAATAATAATTTTCAATAATAAATTATTTAATTAATACTTTACTAAAACACAAATTTGAAGTGCAAATACATTTGTAAAACTATTTATCACAAAATGTTATTAATTGTTTGCAAGCGAACTGTAGTTTTCATGCATTTTGAGAACAAATAATCGAGTATGTATACATTAGGGCGGGTCGATTTAAAAATCGCTCATTGCTCTGTGAAAATCGTATTCTAGGGATCAAAATAAGAAACTTTGCCGAAGGAACCATACCTCTAAAACGAATTCTGATGTCCCCCAATTTGGGTCGAACTTTTGGGTAGGGGCAAATTTTGAAAAATCCCACTTTGACCCATTTAGAGTGCTCCAATCGAGTCCAAATGTATGACCGACCCCCACTAACTTTGGACGGCCGATCCACCCATGCCAGTGGCACACCCCCTGGA